AGTAGTGTGTGTGTGTATGTATATATATATATATATATATATATATATATATATATATATATAATCAATCAATACAAAATGGTTAGTATACATTAAAGTTATAACCCTAACAAATGTAGAAATGCATAATGAAGGCTGCTGTCCTAATCCTCACAACACTGTTACAATGGAAAATGGTATCTGCAATATAAAACCTTCATTTTAGAAGCGTCAGGTGTACCACTATGCTGTGTGCAGAAGTAACTTTTTTCGGCCATGCACTTTATTATAATATAACTAATGTAGCGTGATCTCAAAAAACCCAAGTTTGCTGAGTGCCTACACAATGCCTTCAGCTTTTGGAGGCATTTAAAAAGGCTACTTTAAAAAGCACCTGTGTGTGCGTACAACCCACAGTTGTTTACACTAAACCCCGTACTTGTGTATATTCCTGAGCACATGAATATTTGTATCTGTCTCTTTGCATGAGATTTTCCTGAGTGCAAAAGGGTGTAATTTTTTTTTTTTAGGTTGCTGAAAGAGTTAGTGGGCCAATAACACTTGGTTAGCAAATACTGTCATCTACTATTCTTGGCGGTAAAGAATCCAAGTCAGATTTGGTACAATGGTCCAAGCTTCTGAGGTAGCTTTCATGGTGTGCCCTGCTTTGGGTGATAATGGTCCAAGTACACTTTAACAGAAGACCAGCAGAGGCTGCTGTTGAGCCTCATTCGGTATAACTTACTGAGAATTAACGGGACAATCTAGGTCACTTGCATCACAGGCATGCAGAGTTCCTAACTTATCCAATGTTTCTTTCTGAGAGCTACATGGTTTGCATGGGAACTGCTCCTTCATGCATTTCTCCTCATGCATGTACAAATGCCGGACTCTCAAATGGCAGGTGCGCTGCTGTAACCCTACAGGTTACATTTACTGGAACTCTCACTTGGCTTCATTTCCGTCTGCTTTAGAAATGTGGATCCTCATGATTCACGGTACAAACTTCTTACAGAAGCAGCCTTACAAAGTATTATGGTTTTCACAGGAAGAAGCTGTCACCCTAGTGCTCTGCTTCCTCTGATAACGGCTGTTGCTGTCCCTGTTTGGGCAGTACAGAGTGATAGGGAGTTATGTGTGGTCTAGATACAGAGAAGTGCAAAATTCAGACACTAACTTCGAATGCCCTAAGGTTTTGCCCTTTTTATTTAGAGCCATAAGGGCTCAGCTGAGCAACTGGGATCTGGGATTCTGAATTCCACCTCTAAAGCACAGCTGTGTATAAAGTTCTGCTTTTGTGGTCCAGTCTGCTTCCTGCTTATGTTGTCTCTCTGTACAAAGCACATCGCTGAATTGCACACAGGGTTTTCCCAAGCTCATACAAAGCACAGCAGTTGTACACGTGGGGCTAGCACCTGGAATCTGGAGGAACGATGCTTGGTGCAAGGCAAGAGGAGGTTGTGAAATAGTTGCCTTAAGCCAGCTATTGAGGTCCTTGATCCTAGAGATCTTCTAATGTGTTTGCCTGTAGCCCTAAGTGGCAGTTAGAACAGCCCGGGATGAGCCAGGCATAAGGGAGCTTTGTCCAGGCTGGCTTCAAGGCAGGGGGTGGTGGAGAAGGGGCTATCGTGGCTCTGAATCACCTGAGCAGCCCTGTATACCGGGGTGATCTCCTGTGTCCCGTTCAACCAGCTTTAGAGGCAGCATTGTACAGGTAACGCCTAACATGCTGAGGAATCTGGCTCTCTTTTACTGCAGTATCTTGACACCAATGACAGATTTCTCTGGGGGCAGGTCATGTACTAATGCTGTGGCTTTCTGCTTCATCCAGACAATCATCAGATCCCTCTGGTTCGGGTACGATGTGACAAGGGCTGTGGAAGAACCTCGAGTTCATGATCAGCTGTTTCCCAATGTCACGGAGCTGGAGCAGAACGTAGAGCAGGTCTGTTTGTCTTCTCTGGGAGGGATTAGGGCAGGGGGTATGATGTCAGACATGATCCTGGTCTCCGCAGGCACCGTGGGAATGTTTTCCCTATATTCCATTGCGTAATGTTTGTCTGACTGTTTATGAGCTTAAGAATTAAAGCTGGGCAAAGCTTTGGCCTTGATCCACCACACGGAGTTCAAGGGCCCATCCATGTGGGTTTGCACTCGGAATTTTGGCTGCAAACAAAGCCAGAAATGCCAGTACTACAGAGCTGCCCTTGGGATTTGCCTGCAGGTAATTTAATGCTGTCCTTGGCCCCGCGTAGCTCAAAAGCTTTTCAAAATACTCAGCCTGGGCTAGGCATGAAGTTTGTAACAACTTCAAACCCAGTGAATTTCAACAGGCTTTGTCTCTTAATGTATCACTCTCTTCGTGATCCTGAAGAGTTGGGTATGAAGCTGAGTCGTTCTATGGCACTTGAAGGATGGCCAAGGAGATATTCATTCAGTGCTGAGATCACCCTTGGAAATCTGTAGAAAACGTCCATCAAAGGTCCTTACATGGGACCTTTGCTGTCCTCTCAATGCATTGCTACACTGGGGTCAAACCTGCTTCAGTCTGGATTCACAATGACCGATACCATTCAACTCAAGCCTGCAGACCTGCTTCTCTGATACACTAACCTCCCCAATGTCCTGTGGGCACATGTGGATCAGCACTTTCTCTGCAGAGCTCCTGAACGACTCTAGCAGACACTGCAGGCCTTGTGTCTTTAAAAACATATGCTTTTCCCAGACAAAACCTGCTTTGTTCATCACATGAGAAACACTGTGTCCAGAAACCCCTTTTCTATCTGTGGAGAGCTAACGGGGCTTCCGCTGTAGTTATGGCAGCAACGAAAATAGCCATTATCAAGTTTGGGTAAAAGCCACAAAAACGCCCTGTCAACCTCAGAACTAGTCAGTTGACTAGAGCGAGGCAGTGTGCCTACAAAACTTGAAGTGGCATGGAGGAGCTCATGAATGGACGTGACGGGCTGTAGTGTTCAAAATGTTTCACTTACATAAAATGGCCCTACTGGGTCAGACCAAAGGTCCATCTAGCCCGATATCCTGTCTACTGACAGTGGCCAGTGCCAGGTGCTTCAAAGGGAATGAACAGAACAGGCAATCATCGAGTGATCCACCCCCTGTCCAGTCCCAACTTCTGGCAAACAGAGGCTAGGGACACTCAGAGCATGGTGTTGCACCCTGGCCCATCCTGGCTAGTGGCCATCAATAGACCTATCCATTCATTTCTCTAGTTATTTTTTTGAACCTTGTTATAGTTTTGGCCTTCACAACAAAGAGTCCCACGGGTTGACTGTGTGTTGTGTGAAGAAGTACTTCCTTTTTTATATTTTAAACCTGCAACCCATTAATTTCCCTATTAATGACCCCTAGTTCTTGCATTCTGTAAAGGAGTAAATAACACTTTATTCACTTTCTCCACACCAGTCAAGATTTTATCAACCTCTATCATATCCCCCCCACTTACTCATCTCTTTTCCAAGCTGAAAAGTCCATCTTTTTAATCTCTTCATACAGAAGCTGTTCCATATCCCTAATCATTTTTGTTGCCCTGCTCTGTACCTTTTCCAAGTCTAATATATCTTTTTTGAGATGGGGCAACCAGATCTGACCAGAGTATTCAAGATGTGGGTGTACCATGGATTTTTATAGAGGCATTATGATATTTTCTGTCTTCTCTGTCCCTTTCCTAATGCTTCCTAATATTCTGTTAGCTTTTTAGACTGCAGCTGCACATGGAGCAGATGTTTTTGGAAACTATCCACAATGACTCCAAGATCTATCACTCTAGTGCTCTGCTTCCTCTGATAACGGCTGTTGCTGTCCCTGTTTGGGCAGTGCAGAGTGATAGGGAGGTATGTGTGGTCTAGATACAGAGAAGTGCAAAATTCAGACACTAACTTCGAATGCCCTAAGGTTTTGCCCTTTTTATTTAGAGCCATAAGGGCTCAGCTGAGCAACTGGGATCTGGGATTCTGAATTCCACCTCTAAAGCACATGTTGGGCAGGATCTATAAAGACCCCCAGACCCACTGCAGTTCTGCTTTTGTGGTCCATTCTACTTCCTGCTTATGTTTCCTCTCCGTACAAAGCACATCGCTGAACTGCACGCATGGGTTTCCCAAGCTCATATAATGTGCATTCTTTTGCATTTATCCACACTGAATGTCATCTGCCATTTTGTTGCCCAGTCACCCAGTTTTGTGAGAATCCTTTGTAGCTCTTCGCAGTTTGCTTTGGACTTCACTATCTTGAATAATTTTGTATCATCCTGAAAATTTTGCCAACTCACTGTTTACTCCTTTTTCCAGATCATTTATGAATATGTTGAATAGGACTGGTCCCAGTACAGACCCTTGGGGGACACCATTATTTACTTCTCTTCATTCTGAAAACTGACCATTTATTCCTACCCTTTGTTTCCTATCTTTTAACCAGTTACTGATCCATGAGAGGACCTTCCCTCTTATCCCATGACAGCTTACTTTGCTTAAGAGCCTTTGGTGAGGGACCTTGTCATAGGCTTTCTGAAAATCAAAGTACACTAAATCCACTGGATCACCCTTGCCCACATGCTTGTTGACCCCCTCAAAGAATTGTAGTTAGATTGGTGAGGCATGATTTCCCTTTACAAAAAATCATGTTGACACTTCCCCAGCAAATCATGTTCATCTATGTGTCTGACAATTCCATTCTTTACTATAGTTTCAACCAGTTTGCCCAGTACTGAAGTTAAGCTTACCGGCATATAATTGCCGGGATTGCCTCTGGAGCCTTTTTTATAAATTGGTGTCACATTAGCTATCCTCCAGGCATCTGGTACAGAGCCTGATTTAAATGATGGGTTACAAACCACAGTTAAAAGAACAGGAGAAAAGAACACCCGCTATCTTACAACAGAAAAACTTCAAAAACAGACTCCAAGGAGAGACTGCTGAGCTGGAATTGATATGCAAACTAGATACAATCAACTCAGGATTGAATAAGGACTGGGAATGGCTGAGCCATTACAAACATTGAATCTATCTCCCCTTGTAAGTATTCTCACACTTCTTATCAAACTGTCTGTACTGAGCGATCTTGATTATCACTTCAAAAGTTTTTTTCCACTTACTTAATTAGCCTCTCAGAGTTGGTAAGACAACTCCCACCTGTTCATGCTCTATGTATGTGTGTGTGTGTATATATATCTCCTCAATATATGTTCCATTTTATGCATCCGAAGAAGTGGGCTGTAGCCGACGAAAGCTTATGCTCTAATAAATTTGTTAGTCTCTAAGGTGCCACAAGTACTCCTATTCTTTTTGCGGATACAGACTAACACGGCTGCTACTCTGAAACCACAGTTAGTAGTTCTGCAATTTCACATTTCAGTTCCTTCAGAATTCTTGGGTGAATACTAGCTGGTCCTGGTGACTTATTAAAGTTGTTTATCAATCTGTTCAAAAACCTCCTCTAATGACACCTCAATCTGGGACAGTTCCTCGGATTTGTCACCTAAAAAGAATAGTTTAGGTTTGGGAATCTCCCTCATATCCTCCACAGTGAAGACTGATGCAAAAAATTCATTTAATTTCTCCGCAATGGCTTCATCTCCTGTGAGTGCTTTGTTAGCACCTTGATCATCCAGTGTCCCCACTGATTGTTTGGCGGGCGTCCTGCTTTTCCTGTTACTTTTTGAGTCTTTGGCTAGTTGCTCTTCAAATTCTTTTTTGGCCTGCCTAATTATACTTTGACACTTGACTTGCCAGAGTTTATGCTCCTTTTCTATTTTCTTCGATGGGATTTAACTTCCAATTATTAAAGGATGCCTTTATGCCTCTAACTGCTTCTTTTACTTTGTTTAGCCACGGTGGCACTTTTTTGGGCCTCTTACTATGTTTTTTTATGTGAGGTATACATTTAATTTAAGCCTCTATTATGGTGTTTTTTAAGTTTCCATGCAGCTTGCAGGCATTTCACTTTTGGGACGGTACCTTTTAATTTCTGTTTAACTAGCTGCCTCTTTTTTTTTGTGCAGTTCCCCATTTTGAAATTAAATGCTACTGTGGTGGGCTTATTTGGTGTCCCACCACCCCCACAGGGATGTTACATTTAATTATATTATGGTTGCTTATTACCAAGTGGTTCAGCTCTATTCACCTCTTGAACCAGACCCTGTGCTCCTATTTAGGATTACATCAAGAATTGCTTTGTCACTTTGTAGCAAAACCCCTTGGAAAGCCGGAGAAAGGAGGTAGCTGGTTGGAGGAGTGGGAGGGTGGAGATGGTGGAACCGGTTTCTGCGTGGAGCTACCGGCAGCAGAGGGGCAGCTCAGCAGTCCAGTATACTTGTGTGTTGCAAGTGAGCATGTACTGTGTAACTCTGTGTGCATCCTTCGGTGCCTCTCCTGTTGTGTGTTTACCCCTTCTCTCTGCATTGCAGGGCATAGAAGAGGAACTAAAGAAGAGGAAACACGATATCAAGCGATCTAACAGTAGCGCCATCGTCCAGGCCATTCTATGGACTGCTGATGGCTGGGCTGCTGTGTCTGATTCCCGGAAAGGTGGCTTCCCAGCAGGCTACTGAAGTCGCTCAAGCTGCTCTGACAGCCTGCTTCTTTGCAGCTCTAGTGACCAGCTTACATCTGGGGAGAGGGGGGAGGGAATACCTGGGCACTGCAACTCAGGGACTGTCACAGGAAAGAATGAATTTGCCTACGGTTCTGCTGATGGATCTGGACAGATGTTATCGAGGGCCATTACTGAAAAGTGCCTTACAACAGATCAGTGTGCTAAGAAGAAACACAAATCTCCCAGAATATACAGCACCTACCTAAAGGGTCTAGTCCCTCCTCCTGCTCACCAGGGATTGAGTGCACAGCATTTGGAAGGTCCAAAGCCCCAGCTGCAGAAAGTGTTCCTTTGGTTTTCAGCTTTATCCAGCCAGTGGCTGTCCTTGTCTGTCCTCTAGAAGTGACCGCCTTCCCGTGAGACATGAATGCTGGGCTGTGAATGGGATGCAAGGTGCTGGCAACTCTACACTGTAAAGCAGTACACCCGAGCTACAGTCTGAAGAGTGATTGGGATAACCCTTTTCCACACCCTCACCCATTTTCTTAACAGACTATCGTCTTGCTTCTCATTTCAGGAGTTTGAGGCATGACGGGGTAGCTGAAGAAGTGATGGGGCCAATGTCTTTTGTTTGTTTTTGATATCTGTTCAAAAGCTGTAAAGGGAAGACAGAGGCTACCTTTTAAATTTATGCTGAAAGAGAATTACAGGCCTATGGAGGTAAACATCCCTGCTCTCACCTGTACAGTACACGTGTCCACAAGAGATCGGGAGGCTCTATATGACTAAGGCACTGCAGCAATTTGGCTCCTTGGTGCAACTCCTTCAGGTGACAGAAAATAGGAACAAGGCTCCCTTATCCGGGATGCGTCTTCCCTTCTCCCCTCACCCCAGGAGTCTCCAATTTGTCTCTCACTATTCTCCCTTCTGCCAGCATGCAAATTCCTAGAGTCCAAAGGGAAAAGGGAGGAAGCATTTAAAGCTGAATATCATGGTATAAACTACTGACAGCCAGGGAAGCATGGTCTCTTGTCTTTCAGGTACAAAGCACAGCTTCGGAGGGGTCGGTTTGGTTATATCACTGTGATATGGTGTCTAGCAGCTGAAAAAAGATCTTTCTATAGGGGGTGTGGCGGGGTGAAGGGTGCCCATCCTTAAACTCCAAATTTGATGCGGTTGAATACATGGATTTTTCTTTCTTACCTGCAGCTTACCCCAAAGACTTGAATGTTGCAGAAGTTGTGTCCTTAGATGAGTGTGAAGCTGTGGTTTCAGCCAACTGTGTGTCCCTTAAACTTTTGAGTTGCTTGTGACTTTAGCCATCTTTGTAACAGAAATAAGAATATTCATCACCTTCAGAGCTCGGGTTCATTCATTCGGATTTGAGATGCAAGGTGGATAAATAAGGCCTGAGCACCCTCGCTGCCTACTGAAGTCTCCCCACCAGAGGTGAGGCTGGTCAGTAGCTTTTAGAAGCCCTTGGTACTTTACAGGATGGGCATAAACAAATTGTCAAACCGGCAGCCTGCTACTCTCTTCATTGTCTGTTGGAGTTGGGTGAAATCCAAGAACTAAAATATAACTGGTCTAAACAGGATTTTAAAAATCCATTCAGTTGCAATAACTGGTGGCATTAGTAATACAAACAAGACTTCACTGAAAATGAATGTTAACCTGAAGTAGTCCTCTAAAGAACAAGCTCAAGTATTTGTTCACTTGTATTTTAAAACAAGCCCCTCCCCCCCCCCAAATCCTCAATACTAATAACGAAATAAATGCCAGGTCATTCAGAAAGTAGACCCCAAAAGATTTAGGAGCACAGTTCCCACAGTCAATGGCAATTGTGTTCCTAACACCTTTAGGTGCGGAGTAGGTCAGGAACTAACTTTTTCCTGAGAATTTCTGATGAAAACAAATGTTTGTCTTTGAAAATGCTCAGATTTTGCAGTTACCAAAATTTAATTTCTTAAATATTTTGGGATGAAAACTTGCTTTTTCAATCTCCTTTTTTTTTTTAATTCATGAAAAATATCAGTTGGATTCATTTCCTGTCCCATTCTATATGGGTCCTTTTGCAACAGGGCAAGATTCTCAAACTTTTTTCCACAGTATGTCAAGGTTTAGCTGTCAGTGTGTTGCTTTGATGGTACAGAAACCTCAATATGACTTATTTTCTAGCTGACAAACAAGTGCCAAAATGCTTTGTCAAAGATTTGAACAGATTGCACTGATTATGTTTAAAAAATAAATAAATCCATAAACGTGGATTGACACGTTATGATTGAAAGTCCCAGCAGAGGAAATTAAGTAGAACTTAGGTACTATTTTGGAAAGTACCAGAGCAAACCATTCTAAAATGACGGCTTTAGCTTCTCCAAATCTTTATAATGACACCAGTTGTCTCATATCATTCTAATTAAAGGAGCCTCATAAGCTCCTCAGCAAGAGTTAGGCTGTTGCTATTTCGCAATCATTGCAGTAATATTCAGACCTCCACAATTCAGTGCATAATGCTGGGCCCAGGGACCAAGCTATGAGAGCACAGTCCAGGCAAAGACACCCTTATTTCAGAGGTGAAGTTGAACATGTGGCTGTTCAAAACCACCTTGAATGCCTTGCTGCTATTGGAAGAAATGCCAGAATGACGCGGCTGGTTCCATTCTCTAAGAACTGATCAGTTGGTGGGTGAAGTAGGGCTGCAGGCTAAAAATTCCCAGCATCTACAAGCCATTTGTAAAAGTAGTTTATTAAAAATATAACTTTGTAAAACAAATTTCCATTGGAAAATAGAAGCATAGCCTCTGCTCACAGTGTCACGTAAAGTCCAGGGAAGGTGGCAGTGGACAGATAAACTGGCCTCTGCCCTTGGCTGTAATTAGCGTGGGGGAGCCAACCATTGGAGAAGCCCAGGGCTAGATCTGATTTATGCTGAGGTCAGGGTTGAGGTGTAATATGGTAGCAAAAATAGCTCCTGCCTACTTCCAGCCAGTTCCTCATTTTTATACACACTAAGCAACATTCACCCAGCCAAAAGTAAGGACAGCTCTAGCACTATTTCTGTTCAGTTTATCTGCCTAGTGTTTTATGGTTCTACGTGATTGTTCTGCTAGCGTACAGTCAGTGGGCCTGCTCTTGAAGAGTTCGGTCCATTTTTGAACTGACTGTTTTGGGCCTGTGTAATTACCCCACAATTCTTGAGTGGCAACTAATTGTAGTAATCAGTGCTACCATTGAGATGTCAGTCTACCTGCAGCTCAGGTCATAAGACTACTCAATCACAACAGCTACTGCAAGCACCAGACTGTAACAAGTCTGTAGGTGAACTTAAAGAAAAAGCAGGGCCCCTCTCATTCTACATACTACAGAATGAGTGCTAGCCAAGCAGCAACATTCCTCTACCGTTCTGCCACACTCACATTTACTACTTGTTCAGGCAAGCACTTTAAACCGCAAGCCCTGCTTCAGGAAAACAGATGCTTTACGTACTCATCAATGAGTAAGACCAAGAAATTTGTTTTCCAGACAAAACATCAAGATCCTGTGGTGGTTCTAGTGAAATCGTATTTCTGTATGAGACACCACTATGATGCAGCAGTAGCTTCTCATGGAGGTTGATGCAATAAAGATAGTTTCTTGGTGTACAATTCCTGGAGGAAAGCAGCGCTCTCTTTGTAGCAAGTTTCATTTTCAACAGCATTGAAATGCAGCTAAAGGCTGACTTTTGTTTCTCCAAGTTAATAGAGTTCTAAGTGGCTAGCATTTTATTTACATGATAGGAGCTTATGGTAGAAAAGGCAGGCATCCAGCAATCTGGTTTCATGAGATACAGGATTTTTTTAAAAGGCATGTACACAGTCATTTGTGACCAAAAGATAACAGTCAGAAGGGTTTGCGGAGACATTTTAAGCACGAGTTTAAAAAAAGTGGTGGAGGGATAATGAGACTGGAGTAAAAAGACTAAGGTCTGACATGAATATAACTGTTTGCTTTTCTGCATAAGATGGATTAACAGAATAGGGATCTATTAATGCACAAAAAGCCAATATAAATCTGTTATATGCAAGGCTTTAAAAGCGTATAATAATCACAAATTCCTGTATGCAAACAAAGGTTCCCGTACACGTAAGTGACTGCAGGTGAATTTATAGAGGCACGCTGAGTCTTTGGTCCTATGAATTTTTCTAAAGCCCTTTAAAAATATCAGTGTACAAATATAAACAATGTGACTGCATACCCAGTCATACTTATGGCAAGGATGAGGCATAGATAACACCCTAGGCCGCTCAGGTCTGTGATTTAACAAGCACTAGTCTGCTCCCCTGCTACAGGCGTATTAGCTATGACTGTTCTTTGGCATGTTCCCACACTCCTCTCCTCGAATTCTCCGAAAAACGTAGGTCACTTGCGGTAGTTAATCGGGGACAACTCGTTTTTGTGGAGCACAATTCTTCCTGTGGACACAGGCGTAAACTAGTCACAGAACGCACAGCACTTCTCTGCGTCGTGTCTCAGGGCGTTGGTGGGCGCTGTAACAGCTCCAGTTAGGAAAGGCTCATTGCGTATTTGTGAAGATGTAATAGAAATCCTGACTACACTACTCTTACCTGCACCCTTATTTTAAAGGGTCCTCCCAGAACCCATTTCACTCCTGTTTTGAAGAAATATTCATTTCCTTCTTTTGTGCGTCCTCACTTCAACTCATCCAGGGGCCTGTCTTCAGCTTCCCTTGGAACACGTCTAGATAAGGATGAGCGAGGAAATTTGGCGAAGGCTTAGGGTTCCCCGCCCCCAGGGGAGAGGTGTAAGACTGGAAGATTATAATATATCATCAGTTCCTTCCAAAGGAGAAGAGAATTCACATTATCCACACTTATGCACAGTCACGCTTTGCACAGCTCATTTGTAGCGACTCCCTCTTAGTAGGGCCTAAGAAACCTTCAGTGCTGCTACAGAGGTGGCCCTCGTTCCTATAGTAGCTGACTGCCGCAACAGACGCTGTAGTACATAGACCAGTTTTGTGCTAATACTAATTTCAAATGATACCCATCGGACAGGCAAGAGCTAGACAAAATGTTGTTAGACTCACTCCCTTATTGTGTGTCCATGCAAAGCTGTATCTTGCAGCTCTGCTGTGCAACTCGTTGGTGCTGAAACACACCTGAGCAAAGAAAGAAGTCTGTCATTGCTGCCTATTTCCCATGAATGGTGTGGCCAGAAAGCACATTCACACGTCAGGGGTTTTCCAAAGCCAGAAAGAAACCACTCCCACTCCTATCTGAGGATCTTCAGACTCTAGGGAAGATAGATTCAGGTTCCTGAGGGCAGCTCCCACTGGCACTGGGCCTGGTTCCCCTTTCCAAATTCCCACTGCTTGGTTAATTCCTGATTTCTGGCTTCATATTCTAAATAGCTGCTTTGTTCACAAAATATATTTCTATATATCACACAAGTGCTGGTCCTTTGTCCTCTGGACCCAGCTGGCAGATATAATAAATGGAGGGTATGATTCTAGCCAAGACTGGCTGACTAGTGCCTGTAACAGCTTGAAGGTAGCTTGTCATATATTGGAGAGTCAATTGTTACTATGAGTCTCACCCACACTCTCTGCTAGGTGGCTTCAAGAAGTCCGACTAGTACAGGAGATGTCAGGGGTGCTTCCAGGATAGCTGGTGCTCTGGACCCAGTTATTTCATAGTCTTTTTGGCTAGAATAAAATGTTTGCTACAGCACTTGTTCTTAATACCCAGATGACTCCCCCCGCTTCCTTTTATCAGAATAAGCAAAGATGCATCTTCCTTCCTTTGAAATCCCCTGGACAACATTTAGGAAAATGGTGCGGTTCTGTTCATGGTGTCCTCTGCGCAGCAGTCCCTTCTTAACAGCCTGAAAGGGAAGGAGCAGAAAAAACGAAGTAAGTCTCGCCGGGGCCTCTGTTGTGTGTTGCATCTGGGCTTATTCTCCCATGGGACAGAAACATGTTGAGCAGCTGGCCCGGAGACTGGGTTCAAATAAAAGGGACATCAACTGGAAGTGGGACCCTCCTAGCATTCGGTGTGGTGACAGACAAGGCAGCACTCATCCGCCTGCCAGTTATATTTGTAACTCACACAAAGGACAAGCAACAAGTGCAGGGAGAGCCGGAAGATGCTCACCTCTTCAAAGCCTGACTCGAACTGGATGGAGTTGTCCGTGGAAGCATGGAGAACTGGCAGTGAGATGGCATGCTTCAGGTCATAGCCAAACCAGAGTTTGTTCATGATTGCCTGCAGTGGAACAAACTCAGCAGTTAATGAAGGTGAAGGGTGAGAAACTGGGTCAAATTCTCATGTACACTGGTGCAAACCCAGAGCCACTCCTTTGAAGTCTTTGGGCTATATCCTACTTGTATGGCAGCGTAAGTCTGAAGTAACTCTAGACGTTACTGATTTACACCAGTTATATCTAGGCTCAAGTGAGAGTGACTGCTCTCCCTAAGTCTGGGTGGGCACCTTTGACAGCTTTAGTTCGTCAGGCCTCTTGAACCTGGTCAAACTAGTATATGCAGTTTCCACCACAGGGCGAGTCTTCTCCAGACTTGCTACCTACCTAGGGATTTGAATTAATTACCCTCAGTGATGTTGGTTCCTTCAGGAAACCCTGTAACTCGCTCACAAAGTCAGAATACAATCCTGACCCCCATGAAAACACCTATAGGGTTGATACAATAGTCTTTTGCTATGTGCCCATATCTCACATAGACAACTGGCCATAAAGATGCTGTGCACCATACCAAGGGAGAGCAGCTTATTCTCCACACCCTGTTGCTCCATGGGCCAAGGAGGGCTAGACACAGCTTCCTTCAACAGACCAAGACTACCCTTGAAACAGGTGGCGGGACAGGAACAAACACACACAGATGTTCCCTCCACACCCCAGATGCACTCACTGGTCTAAATGAACGGGACAGAGTTTGAATCTGTCTTGATTCTCCTTGCCTCATTTGAACATCAGCCCAGCTGTTATGAAACTGTTAAGAACAATATCTAGAGCTTTAACAAGCTTCTGGGATGAGTCTTTTTGTTGCTGGCAGCCAGGGGTTCATTTTTCATTTAGCCTCCTCTAAAAACAGACTACGCACTAGAACAACAAGCCCTAGGGGACAGGAGATGGGCTAGAAGGCTGGTCTCACCCATCCCTAACTGCAGTCATTCAAGGCTGGGTCAACACCTTGGCCTACAGTGACTGCCTCGGTTTCCTGTCAGCGAAAGCCTGAACTAGCAAAAGGGGGAGGGTGAGAATGAGTGCGACTCAACATCCGGAGATGATGGTGCCAACAGTGAAGGGGAGATGTGCCTCTCGAGCTGGCCAGAGTGTGACTGTGAAATCCCTTACCCCACCTGGAAAGCAACCTGGGGACACTTTGTCCCCAACCTCTATGGAGAGGAAGTGATTTTCCCCACCCCTCAACCTCTAATGAGAGGAGTTTTTAAGGATAGGACTAACAATCGCATCAGGTTTATGAAAGAGGACACGGAGTGTGCGGAATGTCAGGAACATTCCCTATCTGGTCTGGGAGGTGGTACCAGCGATACCAGTTTTAATAAGCTCCCATTTCATCGTCTCTACCTCCAGTAGACACATCATCTCTTGCTTTTAGCAAGAAAGTCTAAGCCATCCCTGTGGGGCAATGACAGAGCTGCCATGAAGTGAAGGAAACTCCAGTTCATGGGGATGTTAAAACCCACTTGGGCTAGTGTCCAGTGTAGTCACAAAGGCTGGTGGGCCTGCAGCACCCTCAAACAGTCTTAACAGCACTGACAAAAGGAGCTGCGGCCCCCTCTGCCCTGCAGGTAGGTTAATGAACGTTTCATGTGTTTAGTAGGAGGAAACTCAAATGAAGAGCAGTAACTTTAGTGCTCCTTCCCATGCCATGCGGTCACTCACTCACCAAGGCAGTGGCACTGATAATCAGGTCCCCTCCTGAGCCTCCAATCACCAGCTTGGAGTTATCATCTTTGGAGACGAGAATGGAAGGCACCATGGCAGAGGGAGGTATTTCTCCTAGAGAAGATGGAGAATGGAGTTATTGGCCCATCTGGCCATAGGGAAAAAAACAAACTTCATTCATTGCAAATCTCTGTTTGGCTCTTCCCTGTCCCACACTGAACCTCGCCCGTTCCCCTCAGCAATTCAACTTTCCATCAGTTGTTCCAGAAATACAAGTCTTGGGGATTTGTTTTTCCCTTGGCCAGAGGCAACTCCTTGGAAGCCCAACCTGCACTAGAGGAGGCCTGTAACTATGAAGATGCTCTCACAGCTCTGCTTAGTTCTGTAGTGTGCTGCAGCCTCAAACTTCTTTGGGAACTGCTGGAACTAGACACCAGTGATAGGCACAACCTGGGCACACCAGTGTTCGCAGTAGGGCTATAGTCACTGTCAGGGCCGGCTCTAGGCACCAGCAAAACAAGCTGGTGCTTGGGGCGGCACATTTTTAGGGACGGCATGGCC